TGAGATGATACACTGATCATCCATTATTTCCCAATATAATTCAATTTTTTGAAAAATTGATGAAGCCATTTCGCATTCTTTAAATTTGGATTTGCCAATATAAATATCAAGGTGTCTTTGAATTGCCAAAAATACTCTATGCACTAAACCCATCATAGGATATGAAGAGGCAGAGAGAAGTTTTGTTGCTTTTTCCATTAGTTCAAGTAAAATTAGTGTATCATTAATATGATCTAAATCCTCTAAATTTGGAAAAATTTCAGCTAACTTGCTATGGTTTATAATTAACATTCTTAAAACATTTTCGATTTTTTTAAACTTAGTAAGCATATAAAACATACTGTTCCATCTGATTTCGATGTCGATTTCTGGGGCTAAATAGGTAATATTTTTTAAAACATATAAAGATTGAAGTTCATCACATAGTACTATTGAGTTTTTAATTTTTAACATTAAATTTCGCACTTTACTGACTGATGCACTGACTAACTCTAATCCTTGCTTTATAGCTAAGTTGATAACATGAGCGGCGCAACGATAGTGGGCAAAGCTGTTATTATGAAATTCTTGAATTAGATATCCACCTAATTCTCTACCTAAAGCGATCATTACAGATTCATTATCTGTGGTTTGTCCAATAATTTTATTGTTAAAAGAGAATTCATCAAGAAGATATAAATTGATCTACAAGATTTCGTGCTATATGACGCTTATTAAGTAGAATAATATCTAACAAAAAATGTTCAAATTTCCACAAAATGAATCGTTACTCCCATAAATGCTTCATTATTCATATTTGACCATAAGTCAAGAGTAAAAGCTATTTTATTTTGAATTTGGTTTAAATTATTTTTAATTTGTATTCGACGTAAGTCGAATTCAGACATAATCATATTCTTAATTTTTGATGAACTGGGAACCTTATATCGTGAATCTAATTTATGTACAAATTTTCTAAAATGTTCATTTGTTACTACTGAAAATGGTTGCTAATGACATATAATCCATATTAATAAAAAAAAATCACGATCTTTTTGATCTCTTTGGTTATGCGGATGGGATCGTTCAAATTGGAATTTTAATTTATAAAGTTTGTCTGGCCTAATATCATGCTTTCTTTCTAAATGCCTTCGTAATGTAGTAGTTGAAAACTTTTTTGTAAATTGTTCATTACACTTTAAGCAATATGGAACATTATCTTTTTTTTAAAAAAAATTCCACACAGGAGATAATAATACAATACGTGAATTTACTTGACTTGCAAAGTCATTAGGTGTAATACTGCTAGATGAAGTTGAATCATTATTTTCATCAGTTAATATATTCTCCATGTCACTCAAACCGTATAACTCTTCTGTATCATATTCCAATTTATTTATGTTCATATTTTCCATTTTTTTTCAAAAAAAATATAAGTTAAGAAGTATTATTATTTTATGAACTTGAACACACAAAACAAGAATATAACATACACTCTATTTATATTAATTCATCAGTTTTTTTTCTTTCTTATATTCATTATTAGCCTATTATAGATCTGTTTTAGTTGT